TTTTAAAAAAACTTTTGGGTTAAGGAGAAAAAACTATGAGCGTGTCGTCACCAAGTAATCGGTCCTCTTCTTTCCTGTTAACTCCAACCACTTTGGTGTGCACGAATACCAGTGTTCGTCTGCCATAAAGTTAATCTCAATTTTGGATGATTCGGTGGAAATTTATTGGGTCCACTTACCAAAAGAGTCTTCGGGGTTGCACAGGCACTTTTCATCAGCGACCCACGCTGGTTCTCGCGGACATTGGCGGAAGGGGTTGTGGAAGTAGCCATGGTCATAAAACCAATGCACTTCGTCTTTCTTGAGCAGAAGAGCTGCTGCTATGCTATGGACCGGTGCATCTCCCCATCTACGTGCGCCCGTGTTAATAAAAATAACCAACTGCCCTTCCTTTCCCTTGTCCCTTACCTTTCGTAAAAGAAGCCTCCGTTTTGATCAAGGTAATTAAAGAAATCCAAGTAGGCTGGAGAGTTAAGCCACTTGATGGACCCAATCTCGAAATTTGACCAAAAGTGGCAGAGGTTGTACGTTTCACCATCATCGTCGCTGACCCACTTCAATAAGCTTCCAGGGTCATCCTTTGGTACGATATGTTGAGGATACTTTTGCATAAATTCCTTTGCCGTGTTCCAAAGGGTAGGAATGGTTTCCTCATATTCCTTCAGCGATATGGTCCAGCCTACGTGTTTTGGGGGGGGGGGTTAGATCATGGACAACACAGGGTGTTCCACCAACTCATTCCTCACCATATTTCATGTCTTTTTCTTGCATGAGAGCAAATGGATCATAGTCGACGCTGCACGAAAATTCCACACCCGGTTCGACACGCCTAAATTAAGACATATGAAAGGTCAAACCTGGTTCATTCCGGGGGAGTTCTTTAAAATATGACACCACGCTGCTTACCAGTAATAATCATACTCTAGCATCAAAGGATGACGGAAGAAAAATCCACTCTGGAATCTAGAAAGAGCAAGGAGGCGTTTTGTGCGTGCGTGCGCAGGAGCCATGAGTTACACGCTCGGACATTATGCTAATCGATAAAGTCAAAATAAAGGGGTTTTCCTCACCTGCACATATGGCGATAACTTTCACTGTCGCCATAGATCACTTCCTTCATGTTTTCTCGAGTATCACTGGCTTTGTCCTGATCGATCCACTCCGGGTATCCCCACATGGTATCGTCCACCTTGCCATAAAAAGTGTTTCCGCTCGCGATGCCTTTGGTCTTGGCCTTGAATTCCTCGCTGAAATCAGCATCATTGAGAAACACCCAAGGGTAGTTGTACCGGTGATTGAAGCGATCTTCCATTTGACGCATGGCAGATCGTAGGTCATCGAGTTCCGAATTTCGGACCAAAACAACAAAAGCTGCTTTGACGTTGGTAGTGTTATTGGCTAGGGCGGTGGTTGTAAGTGGTTTTTGCTCGTCTTCAACGGCTTTTTGCATCTTCATTATTTGAGCCTGGTCATTTTGAAATCCGCTAGTATCGAATGATATGAAGGCCATGTATGTGATGGTCAATAAGGCACATATTGGCAAGAACACCATGGCCATGCTTCGAAACTGTCTATAGGGGGCCATGTTGGTGAAAGAGGCGTAGTGACGAAGTTGTTTGACAGAGATTCACTCAAGTTTCACGGCTCAGTCAGAAAATATAAACAAGAAGAAAGGGCAACGATTCATGCAAAAGCAATAATGCTTTTTAAAAATACATCCAATAA